ACATCCACATCCACATCCACATCCACATCCACCGACACCCCACACCCACACCCACACCCACACCCGCACCCACTTGCATTCACATCCACACCCACACCTACACCCGCACCCCCTTACACCCACATCCACATCCACACCCACAGCTATACCCACACCTACTTGCATCGACATCGACATCGGCATTCACATCTACACCTACACCCACACTCACTTACATCCACATCCACATCCACATCCACATCCACATCCACATCCACATCCACCGACACCCCACACCCCCACCCACACCCACACCCACACTCACACTCGCTTATATCCACATCTACACTCACACTCACACCCGCTTATATTCACATCTACACTCACCCACGCCCATACTCCGCATCCAGATTGATAATGTTTATCAAAAAAGATGTTCTGTTGTCTGAAAACTTTTTCTACAAGAGATTTTTAATCAGTGCTTGAGAGAAGTTAAGATAATTGACTCTCTAACATTGTTATTTCGAAAATCAATGACTGATTCAACTAACACTTTATCGTTCAATTGAAAAGTACCCTACTCGATTTTTGATCATATAATTGATGGAACGATGCGTTTTTTATTCGTATGAGAAATCTGATTTAAAACATCAAATAAGTAACTCAAAAAAATGAAGTGAAAAATCCATAAATAATCCAAAACTTACTTTTAATGTAGCCGGTATGGCTGAATGGTTAAAATGTTTGACATATATCCACAAGATACTGTGTTCAAATCTCGGCTCCAGCAGTCATAGAATGACCTTAGAGAAGTCACTAACGGTTGTTTTGTCTCGGACCACCCATCCGATAATAAACTGACTACTTCATTGGCACACACTAAAAAGCCCTTGTGGCTAGTATGTGATTAGTCAGTATGTACGGGGACCTTAAGTAATTAAGCGAGAAGAACTCTGAGTCAGGCTGACCTTTTGTTCAGAGCTACATTTAGTAATAGATATAGGAAAATATCAGGCTTCTCGAAACTGTCCTCGGACAGCACCCTATACCGCAAGGTAGCCGAAAGGCGGGTTATTCTTTTTCTTCTTACTTTTAACGTGTTTCTCATGGATGAAAATCAAAAAATAACTTTCCAACATGAAAGACACAAAATTTTCAAAATTTTTTTATCATCATTTTCGACTCTAACCCAGAGATATCATTGGTGGCGCGGTAGCGGCAAATTTTTCAAACAAATCATCACGGCAACGGCAGCATTTTTTTCGAGGACATTGAAAAAAATGCATAAATTTGATAGAATTTCATTGTTTACAAATGAAATACCCTGAGATTGAATGAATCTGATGGACTAGTACCAATATTTCTAGTCCAATACAGTCGCAGCAGTGAAATTCGAAACAACTTTTGACAACCATCGCGGCAGATTTTCAGCCGCGATGGATATCTCTGCTCTAACCATATATTTATTCAGCTCATATTTCAGTTTTCAGTCTCAAAAAATTATTATCAATAATCAATCGAAATGAAAGCAATATACCTATTCAGCTACAGTGTTTGTTTTATTTTGATGAATATCATACTTCAACATATATCTTGTCTTTCAACGAAGGATTTCAGCTACATACATTTTTCAATATGCGTCAAAACATTTCTGAATTGATGATGATAAAAAAGGGAAAGCAACTTTATCAGTTTAAACAAACTAAGATAAGCTACACACACAAGTGTGCGTGTATGCAGCGTATCTTAACCAAATAAAACTTTGGACTATGTGAATGTGGTTATGGATGCGTTTGAAAGTATGGGTGATAATTTGGGATGCTGTGTCCGAGACCCACGCCCACACCCACTCCCGCATCCACACCGCAATATCGTCTTTCTCGAAAAGCACTTATCACAATCCCAGTAGGTTTGAAATGTGAAACATGACGATGATGATATGGTTATGGTGTGTTTATTTGGACGAGTATGTTGTGGGTGAGTATTCGTGGAGGTTTGCGCATTTGTGTAGCTTTACTTTTGGATTTTCGTCATAATGAAGACTATTAGATGCAGCCGTAATTTTACATGTCAGCGCACTCATAATCTCATTCACAACCGCATACTTTTCACAGCTTCTTCTTCTCTTACATTTTTGTGGCTCTGTGTTTTTCCCCATCAGTTATTCTGTGAGTATCTTTTGATCTTCTGCCAAGGACGTACTAAATCATATAAACAAGTAAACATCAAAACACATCAACCTACTTTTCGTTTCTTTCAGCCAGGCTTATCAGTGTTGCTTTCTCAGTATTCTTATCGTTTCTTCTTTTACGTTTTTTTCTCTGTTTGTTACTAGTAGTCGTTGTGGGAGTATTTTATTTGTTCTCCCGAAGCGAGAGACACAATATAAATAAGAGATACAGTGAAACACTACTACTAGTATTCAAATTTTTTTAATGCGCTGCGAAGTACGGTATTTTTGTCATTCTTTGTGAGGTTACTTTATTTTATTCTTTCTCATCTACTTTCCGTAAGCATTAAAATTAACCATATTTTTATGCGGTTGTCCTAGAAGCGAAAACTACAGAATAATCTTTCAAACAGGAGGTCTAAGTATCAAGATCGAACTCATACGTTTTATTTTGATATTATTGAGATGATGTTTAGTTTCCTTCTGAATAGCTTGCTAAAATGAGAATTTTTCAAGACTTACTTCTTTCTTCGCTTTTAGATAGGCAAAACGAAAATACGAACAAAGCTTGGACGCCACTTCCTTTGCCCATATGTGAAATAGTTGTAAATACAGCTGATTATAGATAATGAGTCATATCGAAAATTAAATGATCAGTTGAAATCATTTTCCACCAGCATGTTTATATAGGTTCGTTAATTTCTTATAGTACGGAGTTTTATGATCGCTACATTTCATACTAATCCTAACTATGAGCAATTGATTGATATAAACATGACTTTTCTCGATTTACAAAAATAAAAGTTGTTTTTTGTTCCACTAATATTTAACATCGTTAGAAAAAAATCGACATACGATAGAACTTCAGAACAATTATTCGTTTGTTAGTAGAAATCATATCTTTTCGAAATTCAAGATTCGTGTTTCGCAACATATTTCGTATGCGAGTCAACCTCGAACACTATCTAGTTTTTGATGGGTCTGTCAGTACTCATATCAGAAAATTCTTAAAGTTTCTTTCTCTCTTACACTCTCTCTCTGCTTCCTTGGTTTTTATTTATTTAGTTGTTCTACGAGTACCTTGTTTGTTTTCTAATAGGAGTTAAAGGAAGTATACACAAAAAACAGGGGGGGGGGGCCAACAAATATGAGAATATGCTCTTACATTTGTTTGTCTGATGACTCTCGTAGTATTACTCTTGAAGGATTCTTACGATTTCCATTTCTCTTATATTCTTGTTTTTCTAAGATTTTCATCATCATCTATTCTACGAGTGCTTTGTTTATTCACTAGTAGAGACTGAAGAAAATATATAATTAAATGGTAATACCAAATATACCAATCTGCTCTTCGATATATTTTTCCGAAGGATCTGTCAGTATTGCCAATGAAGAATTACTATCGCTTCTCGTTCTCTTGAACTATTCTTCTTTTTCTTTCTACCAGTTGTCGTTGTGTGAGTGGCTTTTTTTTTTACTCTTGTAAAGATCGAAGAAAGCACGGACATTCTAAGCACCAACTGCCGCGACAAGCTGCGCTTTAAATCATTTCGTTCAAGAATTTTTCACTATTATGTTAGAATTCTAACGATTTCCCTAGTAGGAAGGTGCTGAGAGAAGGTCTCTCGGTTTCCCTTAATCTCGACCTTGATATTAATGAGTTTCGGTCTCGATTATACTTAATTTCGATCTCATTGTTTATCATAGATAAGCCTGGAAGTCACTCTTAGTCGAAATGATTATTTTTCCAGTTTTTTCATCGAAACTGACATAGGCTAAGACCAGCAAGGTCAAGAATCACGCTTGACACTCGATCTCGATACCCTCCTATTGCCTAGCTGTTAAAATTTTTCTTCTTTTTCATGGCGGTAGCTGTTCTTTTGGGAAGGATGGTAGTGCGAGTATCAGTAGCTTAAACCGACACTGACTCCTCCTCCGTCTGAAGGAAAATTTCTGCAGCATGTATTTTATTCACCAAAGAGGTGCTAAAACTCTTAAGAGAGGACTGTGTCTCCTTCGCCATTACTTATTTACCATTTCATTCGATGTTTATGATAATAAAAGTATTCAAAAAAGAAAAAGGAAGAATAATGAGTGCATAGCAACATTGAAAATGAAACATAAGGACGTCCGTTAGAAACAAACAATGAAAAAATATTAATTTTGTACTTTCTCTATTTCGTATTAGTATAATGAAGCTGAAAAACGTATGTGAGTTCCATATCTCACCTCCAAACAGGCTACACCGCCAAGCTGTTTTCAAATAGTCAATTCTTCAACTTTAAAACGAAATATAAACTGCATAGGTTAGTTGTATGTATGATATAAGAAAAAGTCATACTACATTAAATCACATAAAAATAATGTTAAACCCATGACTTTGTTTACTTCATATCCTTTTTTTCCGAATTTGTAATGGAATAATTTTCCTTCAACAGTTTTAATGAAGAGCTATTGTTGTTGTTGTTGCTGTTCTTCTTCTTCTTCTTCTTCTGTTTCTTTTTTTGTTTTTTTACAATATTCTCATGATTATATTCCAATCTTCATGAACTATTTATAAGAATGATGCGACAATCATCTACACACTTTTTTGTTTTCTTTAATGCTTCTAATCTTTTTTTACAAACAAGTTAAAAAGAATATGAACAAGAATACTCTTGATGTTACAAAACAAATGTTTGATATCTTTATTATAGATATATAACTTAATGATCATCTGTTTTCTTTTATTTTAAGAATTTATTTCTACTTTGTCAATTTCGAACAATGGCGGAGAATAATGCAACTGACGCTTTATTTCAACACATCGATACAAATCGAGATGGACGGTATGAATTAAGAATTTAAATTAAATAATAAATACATATATACATATTTAGTATTGATCCAGGTGAATTACGTGATTGGGTTCAAGGTCCCGACGGAGGGATTACATATAATGAACCAATAAATCGTTATGATGATCCTACTTGTCGATATGATCAATATCGATATATAGATAGTGGGTATCCAGATGAATTGGGATATCCGAGTGGTAGATATAGTCCATATGGAACTAGGAGATGGGTTGATGATTCGGTGATTACTACAAATAGTCCAGAAGAAACCAATGCTTATCTGGAAAGATCAGGTTCGAATATTTTTCGTGATCCTAATCCAAGAATTGTTCGACGAGCAAGAAGTGCAAGTCCAGTAACAGCAGAACAACGAGTTGTTATTCGATATCTTCAACCACCAGCTGTACCACCACCAGGAGTAAAGAAACACCTTGTTTACAAATTCATTCCTACTATTTTTTTTATAATTTTAGCCACTCTATATTAAAGAAGTGCGTTCACGACCATCATCACCATGTCCACCACTTGTCATACACGAACGTTCACCACCTCTTCCTTCACCGCCTCCACTTATCTTACGTGAACGACCACCAATACCACCACCATGTATTGCTAGTGAAACAAGTTAGAAAAAAAAGAAATTTATATTACATAGTTTAATTTTATCAATGTATTTTATTTTACAGTTGTTCGTCGTATACCGGGTTTACCTCCTCCACCACGATCAGTTATCATCGAACGTTATCCAGCTGCTCCCGAAAAACCACGTAAAATAATTATCTTCATTTTTCTTTTTTGTTTTCTTTTTATTCCAGATTGTTGTCTTTTTTGCTATTGAGGTGATATTATAATTGAACGATGGATTCCATATGGGCCTCAACCCAGACGGCAGGAAATTGTTCAACGTGTTGGTCCTGCTCCAGAATGTGAACGACCATCTAATACTATTATTATTTATTCTAATGTTGAAACACGTCTAGCTCGAAAATTTGAACGTCTTGGTGTTACTCCAGAAGATCCTGCATCTTATAGAGCTCGTTATGGGTCATCACTTTTAGATCCAATTACACTTGTTCAAGAAGCTCGCAATGCTGGTGTTGTTGAAGATATAGTAAAATTTTTTCAAAAGCAAAATACTTTCAGAAAGAAAAAACTATATAAATCTTTTGTTGTAGTCGCCTCCGGTAATATCATCTCCAATATATACAACACCTGTACGTGAATATCCTGGTTATTTGGATCGACCGAATGAAGTAATCACTAGAAGCCATCCATCAACAGTTCGAAATAGCGCTGTAGAATGCCAACAATACGTTTAAAACAGTATTTGATTGACTGAAATTCTTCCTTTTCGATTCAAATATAGTTTTTTTCACCTGTAATTTTTGCAACGGAACATATAAATTATGTAATCAAAGACAGAGAAATAAAAATAAAATAAAAATTGATCATACACTACTGATGCCACTATTAGCTGAATTACGTTTTCTTGTATGCCATGTCGGTTTTATTGTTAAATAAGTTGTTTGCATGATATCATACCATATATTGGTTTAATATCATAATTTATTATTCAAAAAGATGAATATTTTTATAAACATAACAATCATTTTTTAGATAGGTTATTTGACGATTTATTTCTATAAATAATCGATATGTTTTATCAGTGCTATTTGATATAAATGTTTGTGTTGCTGGCATCAATACCATATCATGAAGTTCACAAACATTCCTAGAAAAAATCTTCAAGAGTGTGGATGTGGGTACAAAGAGAAAATCTACGCATCAACATCCACAGCCACAGTCCACACCAAAACCCACACCCACCTACCCCACAGCACCTACACTCTAGCCACACCAATCCACACCCCTTACTCTATCTCCTAATCTAACTGCTTAATCTATATGTATTTCCTTGCTCTAACTCCGTAATGTTGATTTGAGTTTCATATTGGTCAACATGTGCCAGTAGTATAATGAGACAAGAAAAAACTAAGTCCAGCACGAAACCATAGTCTTGATTTCAGTCATAGCCGTCAAGTCTGTCAAATGGATAGTATTGAAGAAAGTCTCCGTCTCGAAGTCTGTACGATTTGTAAAGTTTTCAAGGCTCCTCAATGTAAGCTCATGGGTTTCGTCAAAGTCCTTCAGTGTTCATGTGTGTTAAAGCGAGTGCTATGAAAGTAATGAAAGTTTTCAAGTGTGTTTGACTGTTAGTTTCAGAGTCAAACTGTCAGGTAATGTTCTAAAGTCTTTAAGTCTGCCAAGAACTTAGAGACGATGTCAGTCAAAGTGCTGAATCTTTTGAAAGACAGTGACATGAACTTAATGAAATCTCTCAAGTGTTCTCATTTTCCAAATTTCACGATCATGAAGTTAGTGAAATCGACAGAAGTTGGGAGTCTACTAAATAGAATGTCATTAATTTAATCTGAATTCTGAAATATTCATGTCTCGTAAAGCAGCGTCGTGCTTCCAGTCTTATTGTTATACTCTTCATGTCTCTTAAAGCCACTGTCATGAAGTTAGTGAACGTCATTAAGTCTTAAATTCTGTTGGACTCGGAGTCATGAAGTCAAGTGGAGTCCTATAGCGATGAAACGTTTTTGTGTATTGAAGTCAAAATCTTTAAGGCAGTCTGACTTCTGGTATCCATATTGCTGTCGAAGATAGAATGTCGATGTCATTTGGAGTCTTAGAGTGTTTAGTTTCGTTACTGTTGAAGTGTAGTTTTCGTGTTCACGTTTTTTCTTCGGATATTTTATCGGATCAATTGGGAAAAGTAGGGTGGGGTGTGGGTGTGGGTGTAAAATGTGACCCTTATCTTCATTGACACCCACACCCACACCCACACCCTAGATGTGGGTGAGGCGTGGCTCTTTTTACTCACACCCACACCCACAACCACACCCGCATCCATATCCACACCCTCGATCTACTTTTGCAGCTGATTAAAGTAATAAGGTAGTCTGTTGGTCAAATTTATGACTCCCAGACACTTTCAAATGGTGAGTATCATTGTAAGGTGTGTAATGTGACATATAAAAAAAAATTTCAGCGAGTCTAACATTCGGCATATAGACCTAGCGCACATTTGACGTGTCGTCGACTATCTTAACTGCCATCTATCATAGTATCAAAATACAAACAGTGTTTTGTTTTCTCATTCCTATTTTAGATATCAACCAAACTCTGAGCGAGTTTTTTTTAATGCAAACGTAAAACTGACTTCAAAACAGGGTTAATCTCGTCATCTCTTGTGTTAGCTAATTGTTCTCCTAAAATTTGGTAATATGTTCGTAGGAACATCAGCATTTGAACTACTTTTTGTATCAACTGTGAATATTGATGTACAGCCTCGCAATAGGTGGAATGTTTTTCAATCATATAGCGAAAGAGTAGGCTTCCATAGGTTGATTGCGCTTCATAGACTTGTTTGCTATTCACAAGTGTCGGCTCTTCGTTCGTTGCAATATCTTCAACAAAGACACCTTCGACAAATGTCAATATAACCATCATCAGCTGCAAAATAATTGGATCACCGTTAGCAATCTTCTTGATTGAATGAAATAGTTGATGCAATTGCACAACCAATTGTTCTCCATGGCAGTAATAAGACAATTGTTTGCAAGCAATAGCATATTCTTCGCTTTCAACCTCTGAATCAATTACCAGGTCTCTACTTGGGTCGTAAAGTAGACATAGACGCGTTAAAAATAGCAAAGGAGAATTGTATTTAACTAAGATAAAACGGTCTTGTTCATTTAATAATTCGAACTCAGGAATATTACGAATAAATGTTATGACTTTCATACCGAGATCATAAAATGTTGCAATTATATTGAGTAAAGCTGAACGACGATCGGTAATACCATCAAATATAGATTCATCACATTTGACGGCTGCGAGTTGAAAAGCTATCTGATAAGAAAGCTTAACTAAGTTGAGACGATTGTAGTCATCAAGAGTGAGAAAAAGGTTTTGATTAGGTGGTATAGTTTGTTGGACAGGAGGTAATTGATTACGCTGAAGTTGTTCTATCATGAACTCCTTAAATAACGAAGATAGACGATACAAAGAAACGTGAAGTTTTGTTTTCTCAACCTGATGCTTCTCGTGTCATAACTTTCATTTTCTCTTTGTGATATAGAAAAACTATGATCAGGTTTTAAGAGCAATGACATGCAGAAGACAGCCGAATTTTTCAGACGGGCTCTTGGATAATGATCCTTCCAGATTTTTTGCATAGAAGAACTCATTCTCTTTTAAATAATATTTTTCGTTTCAAAAAATATTGCTTGGCTGAAAAAGCTTCTAACCGCAGCTCCTTTGGGTCTAAAATTCGGATCTTACATATTCTGAAATTCTTATTTTCGAATATTATTCTTTCTAATTTACATGCGTTTTGTCTTCGCATCTCAGAGATCACGTTCAAAACTTTCATCTAAAAACCAACATGAAGGTTCTACGAAAAGGAATAAAGGTCAGAATGAACTAGAAGGAATGATTATCTTGACTGTACAAAACGCTTTTCCGTCGGAAGAGTGTTTTCCAGTAAAATTTTCACTGAAAAAAAACAGAAAGCTGCGCTGTTTACTATCGGAATCAGCGCTGAATCTAGACCAGAAAATTCATTTCCCCATTCTTGTGGTAAATGGATTATGTAAAGTAGTAGAGATCATAAAGAATAATCTATATATGTTCTTGAGTTCGCCTTGTAAAAAAAATTGTGGAATATATAGTATTAATTGTTTTAACGCTTTCCATTGATTTTCCTTTAAAAAACGCTTTGAAATACCAAACGAATGCTGCTTCTTCTTGATTCTGCTGCTAAAGTGTGTTTGAAATCGTTTACCTGTTGTAGTGTCGACACTGTAGTTGGCTCGCTCATCGATTGCTCATTCTCCTCAGGTGATACATATATAGAACTTGTGTGCGTGAGAGTGGTGATTACACTCCTAGTTGATCGTCTGTTTTTCTCGAGCTGTCGCTGCTTTTCTAACTTTTCTTCATTCATCGGAGAATTCCATTTCATACCTATGAAATAGAGTAACACATATAGTTTTATTCTGCTCATATTTCAATCATAAGAGAGTTACACACTTACCAACTGCTAGACACTTCTCAAGTCGACAACGTCTGCACATTCGACGTCGATTTTCAAATTTCAAAGCACACTTGTTAGTAAGAGCCAAACATTTTAGATCGCTCTACAAACAGAAGATGACAGAATGATGAAATTTAGTCCGAGAAATTATAAGAGCACTAGCGATTTACCATATTTTGAGACGCATTCCGACGAAAGAAAGATTTGCATGATTCACAACAAATTACATTGAAATTGTATCCAGAGCATTTATCTTCGCATATTTCGCAGGTCAAATCAGCTTTACGACGGCTGTGTAATACTTTCGGTTTTCCTTCACTAGATAAAGTGGTCTAAAACATATGACGTTGTCGTTGCAATTATAAAGATTTGATTTATATAACACTTACAACTTGTTTTGTTATATCAGCTAATTCACCACAATTCTCTGATTTTTTAATAACTGACAGGAGATTCTGAACCGTTTCATCGTTCCCTGTAATAACGATTATATTAGTCTTTTGATTTTTCTTGACGAAACTGCTAGTAGTCATTTTTGTCTCACAACTGGCTTTTAATAATTATTCTTTTTTCAATATTTTTTTTACGAGAACAGTACGAAAGAAGAAAAGAAATTGCGTACCATATTTCATACCGGAATGTAAATGCTTTTCTCGTATTTTTTTTCTGTTTTAATCAATAATAAACAAACACAACAGCGACATGGAAGACTTACTACTTTTATTGGTTGTTTTTTTGTGTTTCACATTGAAAAACAGAAAAAAAGAGAAGAAGAATAGTGCGTTGCATGTAGCATTTGAAAGGTTCTGTAAAACAACAGTGTTCGAAGACCCACAAGGAAGAAATAAGACGGAGGAGGTTAGTTTGCTGTAAATGAAACTATCTTGCCGATAAATACTGAATTTCAAGCTATCACGACGCGTTGTGACTTTGCTCCTAGGTTTCATCAGGTGGTCTATTAATTCTGTATAGGATGTAGGTGTGGGTGTCGATGGAAGCAGATCACACACATCCGCCCTCAACACGTGGTAATTTAATAGATGTTAGTTGAAGTGGAGGAGGAATTGAAGTTTGAGGAGGTGGTTTACATGATTTTTCTACGTCTTGAAGACTCTGATGGTAAATAATGGCGAGATGAAGATGATTGAGAATAAACACGAGTTGCTTGTGATTTCGGTATGTTATCTATACAAAGTGAACATTAAATGTGAA